GAATTAAGACACCATGTAAATTTTTGAAAATCAAAGTTGACCAGAAAGCAAGAAGCTTTCCAGTCAACTTTGAGAAATACATTTATTTTTTTGAATTGAAAAAAATGATTAAAAATGCATCGGTTTATCCCAAATGATATTCAGCTTAATACTTTATATCAGGATATAGGATAAAAAATAATTACAAAAATCACTTTAGGATAATCAATATTTGAACAAAAGGGAAATTTATTTATTCATATCAATTATAGAATATCATGCTAATTTGTATATGATCTGAATAAATTTTAGCAACTTGTTCACTATTCATATATTTATTTTTTGCAAATAGGTTCTGGGAATTTGTTTAACCTTTTATTCATCCAAATTGTTAAATGGTTCACTATTTAACCCAAAATGGTTCAGCAATAGTTACTGCTGTAAACCTGAAAGTACTCAGTTATCATGTGTTGGCTGTTGTAGCAGTTGGTAGTTACTGTTTAGTACTTATTGCAGTGGTGTACACTGCAGGATACTATATTTAGCACAGCTGCATTTTTAAGTGGTGAAAAATGTGAAAGGTTTGTTGGAAATAAATATTTCTTATTTTTTGTATAAAATTCAGATAGATTTTATTTATTATATAACATTTATTTCTGTTTGTCTAATAAGTGGCTGATTAGCTGTCTTGAATATTTCTTTTAACTTTGACTTGAAAAAAATTAACAATTTTTTTTTTTTTTTTTTTGCATGTTTTGCTCAATGTTTTTGGCAAATTTATTAGTTTTTTTCCTCCATTGAAAGGACAGAAACAGAAATTTGGTTTTTGTCAATTTTTGGATTTGATATATTTTAACTTGTGAATGTTTTGTGAGGGTTTACATTATTCATTGCATGTTTTTCATTCTGGGTTTATAATTTATGCATACTATTGTGTGTGAGATATATATATATATATATATATATATATATATGAATTAAGATATTCAATTATTTTTTGATAGTTTGGTGTTTCCTTGTTATTTTTGATTAAAATGATATTCTATAAACTGTACCTAGCTTAATCTTTGTATATAGGCATCTAAATTTATGGATATTGAATTGCAAACAAAAATACATTCATATATGGCAAGTACACATTTGTAAAAAGCAAGGAAATAATAATCATGTCGGTTATATATTTGTTAATACAAGGATTAAGTATATTATCTATTAGGTTAAAAAAGTGATATTTTAATTCTTTGAACTTAAGATTTAAATTCAAGGTAAAGGATATTGATGTGGTGTTCAATCATTATTCCTTTTAGTTCTGGAATTAATCTGCTTTGGATTTCATTCAATGAATCAAAATATTTTATTGAATCCTGTGGGGGGGATTTCTAGTGTCCATTTTCTTATATTTGACAGTAACAAGTAATATCTTTCTGTATCTATAAAACTGATTTCTTAACTACACTAATTAAATATTTTAAATTTAAAAATTTTCTTAATTTTAATTGTTTTTACTTTAAATTGAAAGGTGTTTTAACATGATTTGTTGTGTAAAAATATAAAAGTAGTTCATTAAATTCAATCCATTTGAATTTTTTTTTAAGAGTTTAACTTGTTAAAAAAGATGGGATATACATTTTATGATTTTAAAAAATATAGTCTCTGTAAAAAAAAAAAAAATGATTTTGATATTACTCATTGGGTGAACTTCACTATAAAAAAATTATATAAATATAACTTTTTAGAGTGTTGTTCACTTTGAGTAATATCACTTCAGTGAAATAACAGAAAATAACTTTATAGCAGATGTTTAGAAATAGTAACTTTTTATAATTGAATGATTTTTACTCCATTTCACATAAATTGTTAATATCGTGTCAGTAATTTTTGTAAATTTGGGAGGGTAACATTTTCACTTACTTTGTTTTGCATAGATATTAGCATTTATTAATTCTCTGAAGATCAAATCCTTTAAAAAATCATTTTACAGTAAGATGACATTGAATATTTGTCAATTATTTTCCTTCCTTGGTCTAAATTTTATCATCAAGAATTTACCAATAAGAACAAGTCTCATATTTATAAATTCATATTCTTATTCCAGTAGCAAATAACAGGTATTTTGGTATAATGATTGAATTTTATCACATTTTGTTTCCTTCATGTATTTTTTTTACAAAAGACATAATTGCCTCTGTTCTTGACTATTCAAATCATTTTACTATCTTATTCATATACTTTTAAGAAGCATTTTAGTTAGCATTTATTCATAAATTTTCACAAAGGAATGTTAAGGACATGAACTTTCTAGTTTCCTCTTTAACAGAATCAGTGCAGACAATTTGGATTTTAGGCATAAATAAAACCCCATAACTACTTGTATAGGGAAGTGTCCCAAAATGAATGTTTCATAAGACTTTAGTAAAATTTATTATGGGAAGTCATTTTGGAATACCTTATCTGTTATAATTAATCATTTTACTATTAATATTGAGAAGGTGGTGATGTCTGTAAATATACCGTGAAATGCTGCTTGGTTCATTCAATTTTTTTTTTTTTTTAATCACTGTTATTAATTTGAATATTGTAATGTTTGTCAAAGATGTTGTTGCATCACTTTTCAGAAGAAAGCATACAAATAATGGCTGTTTTTTTGTCATCTTATCAAGAAAATATGCAAATTAGTTGGCAGTATTCAGAGAATTCATTGTTGAATATCCATTGATTTGATATTTTGACAGAATGTATGACTTAGTAAGCTTAAAAGAACTATTTGCCATCAAAATCTGTCCTTTTAGAATTAACAGATAAATATGAAATGTTGATGACTCTTAAAATTAATAGCCAGTATATTCCAGATGGTTGTTACTGAATGGCTTCTACTGGAATGAGGCAGAGATTAAGAGTAAATTTTTAGATTCTGACAGCGTTGGAGATAACTTTGCACAATAACAATTTTGATTTTTTTGGGTAATTTTCAAATAAACACAAAAGACATCATAGATTAATGGAATGTAGAAATATGGAATAGTAATAAAAACAAAGAAATAAGAGCAAGGTATTTGAAGTTAGTGATAATGCATTAATAGCAAAACTGACCAACATTTGTAGTAGAGGTTGGCTAGGGTGTAACATGTGGTTAAAAAAAAAAGTTGGAGTGTCAAAAGAACAGGTTTTTCACTTAATACCAATATTATTTTAACTACCTTCACTCCTTGGCAATGTTTATTGTTTTAAAAAAGCAATGATTAGAATATAAAACCTAAGCATATGAAAGTGAATTTACACATTTTCTTTGTTCTTGAGAATTTACTGCAAAAATAATAAACAATATTATATTGTTTATTGGAATGGTTGGCAAAACATTGTCTAATTGCCAACTGATTTGAACCTTATAAAATGGTAAATAATAAGGATTTCATGATAGTTGGTTCACATATTTTAATAATATTGTAAATGTTTATAAATTTATGAATAAAAAAAAAAATTGTTTTTCATATTTCTTTATAAATTGGTAAATGATAAATATTGCATTAGATTTAATTGTATTAATTAAAAATGTAAATATAAAATTCTCGTATATAAACAATCTAATGAATAAATATTAGTGTTTAATATTTTTGTTGTAAATTCTCAAGAACAAAAAAATGTATAAATTCACTTTCAACATATGTTTAGGTTTTATTACAATTCTAATCATCACTTTTTAAAGCCACAAACACTGCTGAGGATGGAAGGTAGTTAAAATAATAGTGGGGTCAATGGAAAAACCATCCTTTTGACACTCTTCTTTTTGTGAGCATGAAGGTCCAAGTTTGCCAAAAAACCTTAGTAGATTCATTTATTTTACATAACAAAAAAAATAAGTATTATACCAGGGATCAAATTTCTAAACTGTATACTTTGAAATTTGATCTTTTCAGAGAAAGCATGTATTCTGTTTTCTCTGTTATTGAGCCAAGCACCGTAGTAACTGCTTCTATCAATTTGAATAGAACTGGTGTGTTTTCTGCATTACTACATTCTTGAGAAAAACTTGATATAATCAATTTTCATTTATTTTAAAGCATTATTTATATTAAAACCATAATGAATTGTTCATTCATATTCTATTCAATATAGGTGACCTCTGCCATTTAGTCATTCTTCATAATGTCTCTGTATTAAGTGTTCTATAATAGAATGTATGCTTCTATATCTCAAAACAACCAAAATCTTTTCTTCAGTAATGTCTATAAAATTTTTCCATATTCAAGGTTAAAATATTTACTTACATAGAAAATTTAGAATCTTTTAAGTGACCCTGAAATTCAGACATTAAATCTTTTGTATATGCTTTAAATTCACAAAATTAATTTTAAAAAGCTTTCCCCGCTACTCATCTTAACCTTTATCACTCTGTACGTGACTTCATTTGCTGTACAATTTATCCTGCTACTGAAGGTGACTCTGATCCCTGAACAATAGTGTGTTTGAATTTCACAGTTGTGTTGTCATATCCTCCTATGGCAACAGAAAACAAATTTGAGTAAAATTAACAATAAGGATACTGCAACTGAGAGGCTTTAAAAAAGAATGCAGTGGAAAGGGAAGTAATATTAATAATGCAGAGTGCTAAAGGTTAATTATTTCAATGTTTTCACATTTTTGGTTGCTATTAGCATGTTTTTATCCATTGTTTTTTTTCTTAATTGTCAGTTATATTAGTGAATTCAACTTTTGATGTTTTATGCTCATTCCTTTCCTTTGCATTTTAACTTTTCTAACTTTAGAAGTTGATAAAAAAATAATCTTAACTAAGTCAAAAATGAAAACAATAATTAATGGTATGTGATTCATTTATAAAATGATTTATTAACTCAACTACATAGGGTAAACCTTAAAAGTATTGATTTGTATCTGTTTGAAAGTCAAGTTGCTGTAATACACATTTAGAGTTAATTCTATTTTTCTAATTCTATCCAAATGAATTTAAAGGAATAGCTTTTAATTGAAAAGTATGTATAACTTGCATTTTTGCATTTCTATAGATTCTCCCATGGATTCAGATTTGGCTGATGGCTATGATGGGTACACCGTCAAGCAGATAGGTAAGCATTTAGCTTTGTATATTTATTCATTTTTAACACCACAATCTCAAAACTTTATTTTGTTATCAGAATTTATCTTCCATCTTTTATAGTCCATCTATTGGAGTTGAGTTCATGTTTGTAAGCAAAACATCTGCTTGATATTCTGTTTTATTTTTTTTTCATTTGAAATCAAATGCTTCTTGGATAATTTCTATTGTATCAATTCTTGAATGCAGTGGATAAAAATGTATGAGATTATCTTAACAAAATAGACAATGATTATTGGTAGAATCTTTATTTGGATATATCAGTATTTCTGTGAAAATTAATCTTTCCTCACATTAAGATTATATATGATCCATGCCTCCTGTACACTTTTATTTCAAAAAAGTTTGTTAAGCATGTTAATATCAATTTTTCTTTCCCAATATTGATGTGTTGAATATAGTCTTTTGAATAAAATCTCCATGATTTTAATTTGTAAAATTTTATAAAGAATTTTATGGATCAGTATAAATTTTGCCATAAAACATGAATTTAAACATTTAAGATAAAATAGATTCTACTGTTTAGTGCTTTGTTTAAGTAAAAAAATTAATCTTGAAATGAAAATACAAGTTGCTCAAATTTTTGCTTGTGAAGTGTAAAAGAAAAATTATTTACTTGATTTGAAAAAAAATTCAAATTGTTATATATAAAGCTTATTTATTATATATAATTTGTAGTGATATGTAAATGACTGCCTAATTAGCCTAGCTAAGGCATAGACTATATAAATGCCCAAGCAGTAAAAGTAGAGTAGCTCTTGCTTGGTATGTGGGATAAAAGACTACTATTGGACTGATAAAATATCAAGGAAAGCACACTTCATAGCATAATTAAAAATGTAATTTCACATATTTAGCCAAGACTATTTAACAAAAAGGTCAGGGAAGCATGCTTTTGTGAGTTGGTTCTACAAAGCAGCAGTTTGTGGGCAGAAGCTGCTCAAGTGAAACTTACCAATAGTATATGAAGGGAATAAGGGTGGTTCACTACAGTTTGTGTGGCATGGTAGGCCTTAGCTGTGAAGGTTAGAATTGGTGGAACTAAGGACTATAATTCATTTGAATGCTTTTCATGGGAATAGCAATAGGGCAGTAAGAGGTTTGTAACATTTTGTCTGTGGGGGAAAGGAATTGTAGGGTGGAAAATAATTCATCTCCTACAAGGATGTGGAGATGTTTTTGGTCTTGAGACAGAAAACTGAAGACTTGGGCACATTCTTCCCATATATAGCAGAAGTACTCCATTTTTGGCTTGATCTGGCTTTTGTAAAGGTAGAGGATAGAAGTCAGTTACTTTCTGGATCGGTACAGGGAACTAAACCAACTGATGTAGAATTATAATTGTATATAATGTTAATATACTATATTAATAAAATTTTCCTTTTCATTGAGCAAAATAATTTGTAAATTATAAGAACTGGTGATTGCAGATAACTGTACTTAATTACATAGTGAATGGCACTAAAGTGAAAGGCAGTAAAGAGGTTAAGTGGAACCACAGCAGCACAAAAATAAAATTAGCTGTTAAAGGGTGTATGAACTCCTCAGAGGCAATGGCCATTTACCCTGACAATGGATTAAATAGCCTGAACAACCTACAATTGGCCAAGTGTGGTGAGTACACCCCTGAAAATATGGTCAATCAGGGAGAGGTTCCTACAGTCGAAGTTAGATGGCCATGGATCTGGATTTGGAATGGAACTAGTATCACATCTATGTGAACTAAACAAACTTAAAAAAAAAAAGCCGCTGCCACACTGAGATGGAAACAACAAATAAGGACATAATTGGATAGGCAGAAATGATTTTTCACATAATTCAGATTATGGCGATTTAAGCTTTCAAGAGCGATAACTTAGCTGAAAGTATTACCTCCCTTGGCGTAATCCTTGGCTATTTATTACAACATGAATATTTGTTCAATGAGTGTATGAACTATTTAGAGTATTATAATTAAGTACCTCCACAGATTCGCGATACCTAAGGTTCAAAATGAATTTTTAAAAATGAAAAATCTTACTCGAAGTTCTTATTTTAGTTTTAATTTCAAGCTAATAGATTAAATTTAATATTTCCAATAAGCAAAATACTTTGCTTTATTTCAAAACTAATTTAAATTGAGTGGAAGGCGTGTTTTTTTTCTAATATATCTAATTCCAACACCATTTTGAACCCTCATTTATTACAATGTAATTCTCTTTAATAAAAAAAAATCTTCCAAAAATAAAATATACTTTTCTGAAACTTTATTTGAGGAATATTTGCTGATTTAAAGTATTATAATTAATCTGATGTGAAACAAATATTATTTACTTTAGGTTTAAAATATTGCAGAAATACATTTTTTTAACATGGTGGTGCTGTTTAAGTTGTTGACAGCTTGATTACTGATGGATGTTTATCTAATTTTTTCTATGGGGGCTTCATCTGTATAAAATAATTGAAGAATATAACGTGAGCACCTTTTTATATCTAATTTTTAAGTGCACACTAATCTTAAAAATTTATGAAAATATTCTACATAATCTAAAGTTTTATTGAATTTTAGATACTCTGGCTTTAAATTTACTATAGTTATCACTATTATTTTCTGATAATGTCATGTATAGGCCACCATATCTACAAAAATCAACACGTTTATACACATACAAAAGAAATTCAAAATTCTTTTAAAAATATTGGTGTTAGTAAATATAGATTTTACATAATAATGTCATCTAAAAATCTTGTAAAAATTCATTATTCAACAAAATTTTTTTTCTTAAGACAGTAATGTCCTTAATATATCTTATTTATAAAAGCAATTAAAACCTTTTCTAATTAAATAATGTCATAGCATAGTTTTATTGCATTTTTTATTTTATGATTCAGAGCAGATTTTTGGTAAATGGTATTTCTGTTTAAAAAAAAAAAAAAAAAATAAAATAAAAAAAATTGATTTACATTCTCCAAGGAGTTCTGCTTTTAACTAATATAAATATTAAGAGGGTGAAATTTAATTTCTCAGGATTTCATAAAATTAAGTATGGTGGTGAGAGGGTTACAGATGTAAAAAAAAAAATGTTTTTACCAAGATTTTCTAAATAAAAAAAAAAAAAAAATTTTAAATAATTTAATTCATTTGTGAATAAAATCCAACAATTATTTGATTTTTGCAGTAATTTCCAAATTGGTGTATTTTTTTTTTTTATTTATTTTTTTTTTCAAAAAAGATGCTAAAATTTCCAATAAGTAATATTTAGTCCCCCTGCTGATGCAAGAAAAATGGGATTTTAACAAAAATTTTGAATGTGCTAGAAATGATTAAAAAATTTAATTAAATAATTGAAAACTGCTTTGGTCTTTCCTCTTAATAATAACAAAGAATTTGATGATAAAACTTTGTTTTTATCTAGTTTGAGAGATTTTTTCAGCAAATTTTTCAGTGGTACCTAATTTTAAGGTTATTTTCATTTTTTTCTTAATGCTTTGCTTATAAGATGATTGCATATATAATAAATAAATGCATTTGTTTGCTTTTTTCATCATGATAGTTGCTACTTTAGTAATTTTACCTGTCATTTAAAAGACGATATCTTGACATTAGATATTCAATTTTCCATTTCTAGAAAACATATCTCATAAATATGGTAAGGTTTTGATTTTATTTAATGCTTTGTTTACCAAAATTTATAATTTCTTGTTATATAGAACTCTTGTTTATAAGAGATCTAAGATTTCAAGTTTGTTTTTTCTATTTTTTCTTTTCCATCAAATTGAACCTTTTGATATTGGTTCTTCTTTGCAGGGCAATGCAGTCATTTTCAGTATTTTCAATTTTTCTATAGGTGGAAGTTTGAATCTGATAAGCTATTTGTATTTGAGACGCTACTAACCCATGAACTGTAGATGACAGGAATTTCCATGTTTGCCATTATTGTAGCTAAAATTAAAATGGTGGAAATTTCAGCTGCAGTTAATCAGTTAATATGGAAGTGTATTCAAAATGAACTTTGATTATCTCAATGAAAGTTTACAAACCTATTAAACTTGGTCTCAGTGTCCCCCCCCCTCCCAAAAAAAGGTTCATGTGTCTAGGACTAATTAGATCTCATTGAAGACAGATAAATTAAGTTATTTTCATTACTGTGTTACAAAAAAATAAAAATAAAAATAAGATATAACTCAATTCATAATTCAGCACAATTTTGCTATTGTAGTTTAATAACAATCCAAAATGAAATATAGTGGGTATGTATGAACATGCTTACCATCTGAAATTAAAATGTTGCTATTTTGTCAGGATTTTTTTTTTTTTTGTTAAAAAAATAAATAAAATAAAATTAGATCCTTGAGTTCAAACCAGTTTTGCTTCACCAAGTTAAGTTTATAGTAATTAGCCTGCCCAGTCTATCACTTGGAATTTATTGACTGCTACATTACTATTCTAACTACAAAGTGCAAACTATAAATAATCTAAGCTATTAAGATTACAAATAAAATGTGTCCTACTGCATATCAACTACTTGGGGATTTTTTGTTTCTTTGTTATATTTCATAAAAATTAAAGTTTCTAATGAAAACTATTTTGCCTGTATCTTGTTTTTAAATATATATCTCCAATATATATATATCAAGATATGCAACTAGTGGATCAAAGATGACCTTACAGCTCATTCTATACTTAATTATAATCTTAGCCTAAAATCCTGAAGAATCAATGTCTTTCAAAAAGATTTTCTTCCAACAATAACAAAAGGCTCAAATATTTCGTTTGTTTATTTATAGCTTTTGTTCTTTTTCTGCAAAAATGAATGGCATTTTAATTAAGAGTTGTTTTTTTTTCCTCTCTCTGATGGGGTATGTGTGGGTAGTGTAATGGATGTGGCTTAAAATGAGAAATTGCAGAGATGAATTTTTATTCCAGTTGAGTTTGTTGCATTCACTTATATGCAAATACTCTTGGGGAAAAAAGATATAAAGGTATGAATCCATCTCTTCTTGCCCAACTATGGAGTAAATAAGTAGGACTTGTATCTGGAAAAAAAAATCATTATCTTCAAAAAATTGTTAATGCAATATTCACAATTCACTTGCAAAAACAATAATTCTTACAATCCAAAAGATGTTTTTAGGCTTTAAATAACTCACAAAGGTTTCATAAGTTGTAAAAAATAAAAATTGCAAGTCAATAGAAAAACTCTCTCTCTGAGAGAAGATGAACATTCCTATCAGAGGTGAATATTCCTGCTTTGCATTGTTTGAAGTTGTTCTTATGCAAATTATGACGTGTTCTTTCTCCTTTTGATAAGTAGTAGATAATAATACTTTGGAACCACGAGTATTAAAAAAAATAATTGAAGACTTAGAACTAACTTAATATAAGTACATGGCAATTATTCTTGGTAGATTTTGATATTTTTGTGCCAAGTCATTTTGGTTCCTGTTGTGGATCATCAGGTGCTTATATAGACCAATCCTGGAAACACACATCTTTGTACTGATGCAACATGGAAATTTTGCATATGCCAGCATAGGTACTACTGTTATTTTTCCTGTGATGGTTCTCCCATACTTCTTGGAGATGTTGACACTAGCTGATCCTTAAAGTGTTACAGGTGATCAGAGTGGCTGTGCACCATCTTGTCCTGTTGCAGTTAGCATCTAGGTCTTTTAGGTGGAAACTAATGAACTTCAGGTTACTTTTGAAGACATCCTTTTAGCGTTTGTTTGGATGTCCTGATAGTTGATAGCTGTGCAATAACTCACCATAGAGAAACTGTTGAGGAACACTTGATTTGTCTATGTAAAGGACATCACCTGTGCCATCTTAAGGATCTGAAGGTTTGATAATAGATTTTCAGGATAGAGCTTCAAGCTGCTGGATGTGCCAATTCCTTGACTTAATGTACCAGGAAATTACATTAAGAAACATTTTTTTCAATGATGTCTTAGATTTTTAAATCTTCACAAGATTACTAAGTTTGTAATCCATCACATGTATATAATACAAGTAATAACAGAAAGACTTTAATGCAAAATAATAAAGTATTTAATTATCAAATGCAATTAAAATACATTAACAACAATGAAGTAAAGAGTTAACGAAAAGATTATTGATTACTTATCCGTTAATACACAACTGCATAGAGCCGCTAAGAAAAGTACTAATTCATTTTGAAACATGTGACACTCAACTTTGACTATTGTGTTAACCTGGATGTTAAACATGTAATTGTAACCACCAGTCACTGGAAAGAGATCTCTATTTATAGTAAATGGTGGTCTACATTTTCATTGTCTAGAGATTCATGTTCAAACTCTGGTGTCAGCAGTGACACTTTTCATTCATATATGACACTTAGACACTTGAATTATCTTTGACTTATTGGATCACTGAGCAAGGAGTACACACAGGATCAGTAAATTTTCATTTTGAAAATGCTTAGAATTGCACATAGAACTAGTTAAAGCTCTAAGCATGGTAAAAATGCCTGAATTGTTAGGACTTAATAAAAAAAATATTATTGGCTTCTTTTTATATCAATGAAACTTTTTTTATATATAAAAGTTTCTCTGCTCTCTTACTTTCTTTATGGTAAAGTTGAAATTGACATACTAAAATCTTTATTTCATGAAAAAAATTTCTGAATTTAAAGAAAATGTTTATTTTTTAAGATAAGTTTTCAAAGTATTACATGGAATATTTTTGATAAATATTGGTAGAAAATGTTCTTTGAAGAAAGAAAGAAAATGAAAGTTTCCTCTGGGATTTATAAATCTCCAAATAGTCGACTTTATCAAAAGTACTTTTCATAAATTGAAGTTTCCTTCTCAAACATTTTAGATTTGAAGAACGTCACTTTAAAATTTGCTTGGACAAATAAACTCCACTTTTATGTTCCTTTTACTGCAATATTTCATTTGATTAGTTTTAGGTGCATAATCGTAAAAAAACAAAATTTGTTCAAAAAATAATAAGTAAAAATGGTTGCTAATATACTAAGTGGATCAGTTCATTTCATCTGTGAACCATATTGTCATCCATATACCCAGGAGAAGACTGAAGAGTTACTTGGAATTTTCTTTACGATGAAAAGAAAAGCATGCAGTGTTTAAATTTTTACTCACCTGATAAACAAGTTGATATATAACATCTTTTTAAATTTTCTCATTCTCTGGTGTCAGTTATCTTTGCTTTATCCTGGTGAGGGTAAAGTGTACCTTTTGTTTTACACTTGGTGGAGGCTAAAGAATGGATAGGCTGAAACAGGATAGCATCAAGAATGATGGAAATTCATTTGTCTGAAAAGATGATTGCATGTTAATGAAAGTTAGACATATCAGTTTTATTTTATTCAAATATATTAAACAATTTTTTGTAATTGAAAAGTGGTATTACTAAACTAACATTTAAGTGATGAAACTTTTAGATGATCTAGAATTGTGTCTTCTTGCTAAAATTGTCAAATATTTCTTCAGACCATTTTAAAAAATGGAGGAAGAATTACTTTTTTTTTCTTAATAATAAATTGACAATATATTTAAATGAGTTGGACAATATTTAGTTTTAAATATATTATTTTTTTTATGAGAAGTGTTTAGATTATTATAAATAAAAATCCCGTGAGTTAGAAACTATTCTAAATCAATCAGGATTTTAGGAAATATAATAAATATTCCAAGTAGGTATTTATGCAACGTTCAAATTTTACAAGTATACTACTGTTAAGGTATTAGAAAATTGTTATTTTCCAAGAATAATGTACAACCACTTAATATCCTCACTGCTTTTTGGATTGTGGAAATATTTGATTAAAAACAGTCAATTTCAACAGGTCCAAATGAAGGCTTTTGATAGTTTTTAAATTTGATGTATTTATTAGGGAATGAACTAAAAACAAATTTTAGAATAGTTTATATTCAATAGAGTTCAAGGGGAGTAACTGGCACTCATTTTTGCATATCGACTGTATTTGCTGGCTTAAAAAGCTGCTTCTAGACTCGTCTCTTAAGTACACAATTTCAATCTTTAGTGGTTGTCATCTATCCATAGTTATACTGTGATATTTATATTTGTATTTTATAGGCTGGCAAATATGGTTAAGTGCTTTTGTTTTTGTTTTTTTTTATATACTTGTTTCTTGTTTAATTTTAAAGTTTTTAAAATTAGTTCTACCAGCTGAGTTATATTTTGCCATTTCTTTAAGTTTTGCTGTTGCAGATGATTTTAAGAATTTGTATGCATATGTTGGAAATTGGCCCATTTCTATAAATATGGGAGAATGTTTTGCTAAAATGCAGCAGTCATCATGTGAAGCATACATAGAATTCTCAGAATGTCCCACCATATATTTCCATTATATGCATAGGAACTCTTAAAATAGTCTTTTTTTTTTTTTTTTTTCCAATATGTCACTTGAACTTTTCTTGATTTATCTGGTTAGCTGATTCAAGAGTTTCATCTTGAAATGTTCATCATGGCCAGATGTTTGCTAAATCAAGCATGAGCATTTTGAAGTGAAACTCTTTAGTTGGCTGACCAGATAAGTCACTTGAACTTTTCTTGAATATTATAGCTCTTATCTGTTGAGCCCTTTTTGGAAGAAGTTCTGCTAGCCTGAAAAAAAACATGTTAAATTTTTGTAATTTCTGTGTATTTTTTAGTTATTTTACCATTATTATTATTATTTTTTTTTTTTCCTAAAATCTTTCCTAAATTTAAGGTAAACATTTGATTCCAATCTTACATTCACACTTTATAACTCAAGAAGCTTTTATTTTATATTTCAGAAGGAAAAATCAACCTGTTTATTGTCTTGTTCAAATCTGAATTCTAGTTGGTATGACTTTTAAATATTCTTGCTATTGTAGGACGCTACTTGTGGTCTCTCCTCTGCAAATATTGGATTTTCATATGTGCTAGTATGATGCTCACAATAGCCATCCAAGATGAAGTAGCTTACAGACTTATTTACCTCATCTTCTTTCTCTATTTTATAATTGCTTTCCAGGTAAGATTAATGCCTAATTCTCATCAGAGAATAAAATTGATTTTTTTCATTTTTTTTTTTTTTTTTTTATTTATTTTTATTTTGGATCTTTGTCATTCTTCAAAATCTTAATACAGTTTTTCAAAGATTAATGCCCGATGATTAAATTATTTTATCCATAAAAGATAATCTTGTTTTTGAGATGAATATTTGTGAAAACTTGTTTTCAGTATATTTGTTAAACTATTCTATCAAAATATCCTCTGTTGATCAAGATCACAAAATGGTGACCTGTTTCAAGTACTTTGTGATGAACTGAATTTATCCTGAAGAGAGAAGCTACATATAAAATAAACAAAAGGGATGACAAAGACAAAGTAAATGAATGTCAAAAGAAAGGCAAAAGATAGCAAATCAGAAAATATTGAATGTCTTTTGAGATCAAAGAACTTGAGGAAAAAAATATGAATTTGATTTGAAAGGTTAGTTATGATGCCTGTTTAAAATGAAGCAATTGTGAAATCTTAAGCTTATGAAGGAAAACTTCCTTTTAATTCAAACTTCTAGATACAAACTTAGTTAGATGAAGGATATAAATGAGAAATGATTTTACCTTCTCTTTCATGGGAGTGAATGCTAGACAATTTCCATATAGATGAAGAAGAGACTTGAGGCAATAGAAATATGGTTCTACAGAAGGATGCTGACAATATCATAGAGTGAAGTTTTAGAGAAAATGGAAGCAAAAAGGACACTTATACTCAACATCAAAAAGAGACAGTTGAAATTTTTAGGGTGTGTGGCACCATTGGTGAAATTGTAACAAGTTTTATGACAATGTTCTCTGATTATTCGTCACTCACTGTACCTGTGATGACATCCAAGATTGAGTTTATTTGCATATACACCCAACTTGCTATGTACACAGGTTCGTCTTCTTGGCTGTGATCGCTTTCAACAACAAAAAGAAATGTAGACAATTTTTTTTCAAGACTCTCTGGTTGGGAAGTAGCAACAGTATGATTTCTTAAATGTGGGATCCTTTCATCAACTTTGAGAGGTGGGCTGCTATCGTCCTAACTTCGCTAACCTTAATGACTCTTGATTCCTCACTACTGGGCAACTCCAATTCATCTGGTCACTTACCTACTTCTCTTATGGCTGGATTCACTTTCTTTGATTTCCTGCCTCTCTTTGCTTATGTGGATAATCCTGGGGTCCCACCTCCTTCATCCACTTGTCTTCCAGTAGATTTGGGACCACCCCAAAGCCATATGGGTGGTCAAAGGACTACTTTGATGACTATCTAAAATCATTTATAAAAATTTTTGTGTTTCCCAATTCAAAGGCACCTGTAGACATAAATCTCCCAAAACACTGACATTTAAATTTACTCAAAGATTAACTGGAGACTAAATTCCTACGAAACTCAGATAACTAAGTGGACTTAAAAGAAATTCTCCTTATTTTCTAAAGATGTGTGAGAAATCATATTGTTACAGGTGCATAATGAGAAAAATGGTTTTTAGAAATTTGACTTACAGAATGCAAGAGGAACAGAGGAAAATGGTGCATAACCTACCTAATGAGCTTGTGTAAATGGATGGCAGAACAGGGCTTGAGAGAGAGATATAACAAAAAGACAAGTGTGAATAAATCAATACGAAGAGAAATAATGGAAGTTTGTAACCATATAGACATCAATGGGCACAAAATAATATCCTTTAAATCATAAATTTATTAATGTATTTTCTCTTTTGTGCAAATGGTTGACTTTTAAAAGAAAATCATTTGTCTTTTAACAAGAGAATGGCCTTATTAACAATATACCAACACAAAAAAAGGACTCTTATGGTTAGTTTAAAACCTAGGATACAGAAGCATAAATTTTTACCTTTGCAGTTGGATCAAAAAAAGTACTTGACATTATTAACAGTGTTAAGTTTTATAGCTGTTATCAATATTTTTTGTTTCTAGCTGAATTTCTTATAAATGTTTTGCTAAACAACTTGATTATTGTTTATAAACAAATTTGAAAAAATATGTTAAAATCTAATCTGTTATGTTAGACATTGTAAGAAAGACTTTTCTGTATGATTTATATTGTGTGTGCAAAAGTTTCCAGATTTTTTTATTATTAAAAACTACTAAAAAAAAAACACTTTTTTTCTATTGTATTTTCAAAAAGAGGATGCTGGGAAATTTTGCACACACTTGTATCTATCTAATTCTAACTTAGAAGTTTATTTCAACTAAAGTTCTCCCTTTTGACTGGAAAATGAAATAATAAAAACAAAAATTATTGAATAAACACAGGTTTCAATAAACCTCCAAGCTATTAATATTTTTATCTTGGGTTGGCCAAAAAAATTGTTCATTTAATAAGTAAATTTTCTACTTAATAAAGTGAACAAACTTTTTGGCAAGTCCAATATTTTCTGCTTCACATATCTCTTTCCTTACCAGTTGTGAAATTCAAATTGTAAATGTTACATTTTATTGAACTTCAACAGTTGAGGAAAAAGTTACCTTCCTTATAGAAATGATCTCTTCCACCATTCATCAAATGCTTCACTTGTTAAACAGATGAAATTTAATATGCATTATTAAAAAAAAAAATACTATTTATATTCTTTTTCTCTTGTAGTTGTCCTACAGAATATGGCGTGTTACAATGTATGTATTTTGGTGGGTGGTTATTATTTACTCCATGTGTGTGCTATGTATGATTTACACCTATCAGTTCAGTCAGTTCCCAAGTTACTGGAAAAATGGCACTGGCCTCTCAGAAGAAATGTAAGTATCACTTTCTGTTATAATCATGTGAATAATATGGGGAAATAAATCTCTACTAGTAGAATCCATTATCTAATTTTTAACTTTTATATAAACATTTTGATAAGGTAGAAAACTTAGGAAATGGTTGTAAAATCAGACTAAATCATATGACATTGTCACAACGTCATGTGTAGTTAAGTATGTGGCTCAAAAGGGTGTCTGGCAACCGTTGTTGTTCTTTGGTGTGTTGAGTTGATTATGTTGCTATGTTAGTCTCTATGACTTCCTTCAGGACAATATACCAAAGTTGGATGGTCTCTGCCTCTTACTGAAAATCAAATCAACTGTCTTTACACCAGGAGAAAGGGTTTTTATTTTCTTTGTGTAAGACTATATGCATTGAGCTATATAGCACAATGTATATAGTAAGTATAGGCTACTTTTATTGTCCCCAGGATGGAAATTTTGCTGACTACTTGTCAGTGAAGGAGAGGAAGTGAGTGTGAGAGATTTCCATATCCTAGCAGTTTCAGACTTGTGTGTTTGCTGCAAAATGAAAATTCTCACTTAAAGATTTAGTAGAGAAACTCCTTTTTTTTTTATAAGGAAATCTCACCTTAATCATTAATTCACAGGCCAATGAAAAGGCACCCGAGGCTGTTCTACCATTTTCTTTTTTTTTTTTTTTTTTTTTTTTTTTTGATGTCTGATGCCAATCCCAGAGATGGGACTTGTGATCATTTACTGACCCTCTACAAAACATTGTATTTCAGAAATGTGTGACTATTAGATTTTTCTTTCTTTCTTTAATCCTTAAAATTATTCTCCATTACTACTTACAGTGTTACAATGATTGTTCAATCAAACTCTTTTAAGAATGATTAAATATATACTTTAAGTTTCCAGTTAAATCATTTTTACAATGGGGATAAAATATTGTCATTCTCAAGGTCTAGTAAATCTAATCTGGAACATGCTAAGCTTTAAGCATAATGTTTTTATTTATTTTTAATATATGAATTTGAAATTCCTGTTCCTCTTCTGTTTTGTGATTGTTTTTGTTCTTTCTTTGTCAGACTTCGTGACCTTGGCCTACAGCAATATGACGTGAAAGGTCTTTTTGTCAAACTGCTCACTCCAACAAGTTTCCTAATTGTTATCATCATTCAAGTACACTATTTCCACCAACCTTTCATGCACCTCAGTGGACTGGAAAGATATAGGTAAGGAAAAAAAAATTTCAGTGTAATTAGTGACAATTAGTGTGATTGCCTACATTATTGCATTTTGATATGGTTCATCCATTCGCTTGAAATATATCTTGCTTGCTTTATAAGTTTCTAGGTGAGATCTTAAATCTTACATTTAAATTGTTATAAGATTCAAATCCTAAATCCATATTTTGTTCTTGAAAACATGTTAAACGTTCCTTTGAAAACATATTTTAAACTTAAAAAAAAAAAACATGTATATAATAAATTATTATTGCATGTTTGTTTTTTTTTTTTTTTTTCAGACATTTTGCGATTGATATTGTCAGTGTCACTCTTGATGTTATTAAATTCTGTATATTTTCAGAAGAGAATTTGCAAATGCAGAGTCAATAGATGTGACAGCTGAGGATGGTCACATTACTGAAGACACGGGTCTGACCACTTCTGATACGGAATCAGAGCTTAGAATGCTAAATAGTATGAATTTATCATGTTTATTAGCTTAAGCTTAGAGAATTATTTATATATATATATATATATATATATATATATATATAAAAATGTGTTTATTAAATACTTTTTAATATTATTTCAAATAATTGAAACTTTCTCCCTTTCTCTAATATTTCTTTATATATGTTTACTTCTATAATATTTCTTGTTTATTTCATTTGACATTTACATGTGTAATCTTTCACTTGAAGATTACTGGAGAAAAACAATATGAAAGTCTCAGGCTTATCTTTTTTTTTTAAACTGAATTTTTAAATTTTTCTATAGAAAATCTGGGTTTCACTTAAGAATATATCAGATATTTTTTTAGCTTATACCGTTTATATGACACAGAATTGGAAGTCAGAGATCTGAGTTCTAATTCCAGTCAGGTCTTTTATATTCACTTATGTGCAAATATCCTTGGAAAGGTATGAATTCCCTTCTTCCCCCAGCTATGGATTAATTAGCTGGATTTGTATCAGTAAGTCATTACTATCCCTGAGAAATTCTTACACTCTAAAAATATTTTCAGGTTTTAAATAACCTACAAAAGGTTAAGCTGTAAAAAACAAATCAATCAATTTATGCTGTCAATAAAAGTAATTGCTTAGATACTATTTTTATTTGAACATCAAATCTTTTCAACTTTTTAATTTGTTTGAAAAATGGAATCCATTGTGTGCATGTTTTTCTTTTTTCTTTTAGATTGGCGGAAAGAATTTGTGGTACGTTTTCGTGCCCTGTGGAGAAGAGGAAGTGCCACATGGAATTATGTATCTCAGTATTTATGGAGGCTGATTGAGATCCACATCTTCAAAGTGGTCGGCCTGACTGTGATGGTAGTGGCTGTAAAGGAGGTCAGTGCATCAAAATAAACACTATTGCTTTATTAATGTAATTGAAACATTTCTTAGCATGCTAATTGTGGTTTTATGATTATAATTAGTCAGTAGTTGTAAGAAAATGAAGACAATTGCATATAAGCATGAAACACTGTCAGTGATGGGTGTTGACATCAATGTCCACTTTTATATTTACATATGCTCTATCTCTGATATTGGCACTTTAACCCATAAATATAGCATACTATAAAACTACATTTTATCAGCAACCAAATTTTTGGAATTTCTCATGGGCACTCACAGATTTTGATGGAATTTTAGTATGTTTTACCAACCTATGAGAAAGTAAAAGCCCTAAAATTTTAGCTATTTTAGACACTTGATAAAAAATGCACCAAAAAACCTGTAAAATACCAATTTTCCTCATTTTTAGAATCATAGGATTCTAAAAATGTAGAAAAGAGAAATAAAATCTGTGTTTTTGCCATATATTAGACTATAAGAATACCAAGTATGAACTTAGAATGCAAAGTTATGAAGTGCCAAAGTTGACAAGTTGTCCTATTTTGTAATTAACAAAAATTGACACCCAATTTCAAGAGGTCATAACCCCTGAATCAAGTGTCTGAGGAAGGGTTTTTGGTTTCTCATATTCTCATAGGTGGGTACAATATGCTAAAATTTCATCAAAAACTGAGATGGTACCCATAGGACCATTGGTTGAATCGATATGGAATTACACATATTATTGTTCTGACTATGAAACTCAAGTTTGAATTTCACCATTTGTCAAGGAGCTGATCCCAGCATGCCACGCTATTCTGAAAACCATGTTGTGCATTGACTCAACTCAGTGAAATTTGTCAGATGAAACTATTGAAGCTGTTCTTGGTTTTGCTAGCACAAGCCTCTAAAGTCTTGAGTGTACTGGCCTTGTTCAACTGCTGATCATGTCAAATTATGTGCACTCTCTCTCTCTCTACTTCAGAAACTGTAACTAAGAGTTGTAGTGTAAAACACAGATTGTCTTTGCGAGTGTTGAAGAAGCACAAAAGAGTCTGAGCAGGCATCTCTAGCAGACAGGTGTACTCAGTAACAGGCAGCTGGACATATATATATATATATATATATATATAATCATTTCACTGTAAGTAAGGCAATAAAGCCATTAGCATGCAGGAGGTTGCTGAGTGTGAAAGAATACAAGAAAAACATTAAGGAGTAAGAACAATGAAAGAACAGAAATTAAGAAGACAGGAGATAATGATTATCATTGCATTTAAATTTTTGAAGATCAAACTAGACGGGAGAGCAGGAAGCCTAAAGAGAGTTCCATAAGCAAGAAGTACAAGAAAAGAAACTGTTAGCATAAAATTTACAGTTAAATGTAAACATTTCAACTGTAAAATGATGAGGTCTTGCCACTAATTGAGCACTTAAATTTATAGTCTATATACCATAAAGTTCATCAGAAGAATTACCATGAAAGTATTTATAGATAAGGCACATTGAATCAACATTATGACGATGGGAAAGTGACTGAAGCTATGATGTCATGTCAGGACTAATGACATTGCAGATTCTTTTTGGGATTTTATCAAGGATCTCTAAATATATAGCAAGAGCACCAGACAATATTCTAAGCATAATGCTAAATAGCAAATAATGAATTAATATTGTTTTTATCACTTTAACACTCGTTTTTTTTAAGAAAGGTTTGAATCTAACTCCATTACCAATTATTTGGACATGAGTTAAATCTAAAATGTAGGTATTTTCATGTAAGAAAGGCAGGTACTGAATGTGGATTACTAGGCCTGTTAGAAGATTAATATAAACCAAGCTGGCAGATGTTTTTTTCTTTCATTTATAATGATTGATTTTCTTGAATACACTTTTTCTCTGATGTTTCAGGTATCAGCCATTAGTGCCGTCTACGTGATAATGTTGGCCTTCTTCTTGCCTCTACCCAAAGGTCGTTTGTTGCTGTCCCACATTTTGCAGATGTGGACAGCATTGGTTCTGCTAGCCAAAGCATCATTTCAAATGTCAGTGGCAAGAATTGCGGATTGGCAATCAAATTGTACAGTAAGTATTAATTTTTATTTTCTGATTGCTATTTGTTTATCTATTTATTGCCAGTTCTTCATTCAGTTTTTTTTTTTATCATACTTAAATCCATTCTTGTGCTCTCCATCTCCTGACTTTCTGTTAAATTCAGTGTCATATCCTATATTGACTGCGATTGACTTTGCTGTAGCAAGCATTAAAATGCAGATTTTCTTGGTATGATGTAAAGTGTGTTCTTCCTCGGTCTAAGCATCAACATTAATTCTTGAAAAAAGAATTATCTTTTACTGTTCCTGTTTGCTAATCATCAGATGGTTGTCTTTGTCTTATCATTCCTTCAGGCAATGGCACACAGAGATTTTGTGATATTTAGTGATACCCAGGGTTAACTCCTTGATTGTATGTCTCTAAGACTCAAGTTGGACTATAGGACATAGTACTGAGAAATGGGAGAAAGGAAAACATTTAAATATGTAAAACAATATAATATCAAACATGAAATAAACACTTTATTCAAATTAAATATAATCTGAATTTTTATTTCACTCTTTGATTGGATGCCCTTCCAAATGGATGCTCAGGGCCATTGTACCCCCCCTGCCACACCTTTTGCATGCAACTGTCTTCAGCACTACTAAAGTTAACTGGCCCACTTGTTAAAAAATAAAATAGAAAAAAATGGATTTTTTGTAGTCCTTCCTCTGTCAATTAAATAAATTAATAAATAACCTAAAATGTACACATCTGTTTGTTTTTCATGTAAGATAATTATCCCCTGATGTTTGTGAAAGTTCTTCTGAAATAAGTTTTTAGAAAAAAAAAAACTATTTAAAGAATGAAGCAAATCCTGAATTGGGCAGGGAAAAGAACAACATCAGTACTTACAGTTAGCAATGATTTGGATACAGATTCAAACTTGACATTTGTAAATAAAAATGAAGTACAGATATCTCTTTAAGAAATCATGGCTTGATTTGACACTTTATTTATATTATGAACAGGACCCACTTCTAAAATGATAAAAAAGAAAATTGATATTTTTAATTTTGACAGACATGCTTAGATGTCTAATAAATGCTAATCTACAAAAATTATTCAAAACAAATTTTTTCCCTATTTTTTTTTTTTTTTACAAACAGACCAGTTAACTTCAGAAGTAGCATTTCTTCTATTTGACCTATTGTCATCCCAATCTATATAAATTTTATCTTCTCTGGGGTACAGTTGTGCTGCATTGATTACATTACAAGGAAATATTGTGTCAGTCACAATCCTTTTTCATTGCTCATAATTTTCATTGTTATACAGTATGTGTGTGCATGTATGTAGTGGAGGCTACATCAGTGTGTGTGTATGGATCAAAGTGTATTAGATATATTCAGAGTATATTTATAAGAAAATTGTTAAAATTGAATGATAATCAATTCACATTAGGTTGGAAATAAAGTTCCTGCACAACTTATATACGTGTATGTGTGTAAATATTCTCAGATGGAAGATATCTGTAGAAGAGACAAAATGAATGAAAAGACAATAGGAAAACTATACTTAGTTTAGCTGATGCATTTTATCATTTGACATACTTTATCAAGGCAAATTTTCAAATGTGTATAGTTTTCCTTATGTCTTTTCATACACAGACACACACACACCTTTTTATGTATACTTGTACACATACATACATATAAGTAACTATTTCTTATGCATATACCTCTACACGCATACACATATATATGTGACCTCTCATATATACCTATATATATAAATATATATATATATATATATATATATATATATATATTATACATTTTTTTTTTATTTTGTGAGGTGTGCTGTTTTTTCTTGATATTATGGATAGCATTGGGATGCCTGGTTTGTTACATTTTTTGCCTATACACACACATACACATATATATGAAATAGTTGTATGTATGTATGTATATATAAATGTACAAAGTATAAAAAGTATACATAAAAAATATATTTTGGATTATTATTTTCATACATGAAATCCGTTAAAAAAGACCCCCTCCTTAATTTAATGAATTGTTTCTTGCATCATGACTTTGCCATTCCACAAAATCTGATCTTCATTACGAACTCTTGGAGACATTGTGTAAACAGGCAACCATAAATAAGAGTGAATATATAATCTGTTTGAAATTGAATGAATTCTCTCTGTGCTGTATATTCTTGCTTCCTCTTGCCCAAGTAATATATCTATAATCATGGATATATATATATATATATATATATATATATATATATATATATATAAAATTGATTTCACCTCATGCAAGGCAGTTAAGTCACTAAGACAAAGGATTACTGAGTGTGGAAAAATTAGAAACAGAAACATTACTAATGAGCAGTAACAAAAAGAGTAATCAGGAGGACAGTAGATAGCTATTGACATTGCATTTAAATTTTTGCAAGTTAAAGTTGGCTGGAAAGCATGGTGTCAGAAAGGAGTTTTTCAAATGAGAAGTGCAAGAAAAGAAACTGTTAGCATAGAATTTACAGTTATATCTCTTGCCATCTCAACTGTAAATTGATAAGATCTTTATGCCAGTCTAGTACTGTGCTTAAATTCAAAAAGTATAGGTACCATAGTGAAGAGCACATTCCAATAATTATCATGAAAGTATTGATAGAAAAGACACAGGAAGGCAACCTTATGGTGGTGGGAAAGTGACTGAAGCCAAGCCACCAGATCAGGACCAATAATATTGCTTATTTTTCTTTGGATTTTATCAAGGAACTCAAGGTAAATAGCAGGAGCACTGAACCATAAATGCCAGCAACATTCTAAGCATGGATGAATGGTAGCCTTACAGATATGTATAATAGATTCTGGAGAGAAAAATTGTCTCTTATCACAGTGAACCAAATTTCTTAGCAGCTGACCTACCAATGATAGTCTTTTCATTTCATGTCAGCCAAGAACGTTAGCCCAAGAATAAAACGATTCTGTTATCTTGTTTTTTCAGATTAAAGCTGGGAATAACACTATTTATGATATGTATCCATTCAATCATACAATTGACAATAACATTTGGATTGGCCTAGAAAAAGTTAAATCTGCTGAACTGCCAAATTATCTTCAGGTGAGTTTTTATTTTATTTTTTTCAATTTATAGCTATCTAGATTAGTGACTCTTCTATTTCATAACTGTTAATGTGGTAACTCTGCTATGTCATGGCCATATCAAAACAATGGAAAAGACTATGGAAGTAAATGTTTTTTAATTGTTTCACCCCCTAAAAAAAAAAACAAGGTGACAATACTACTAGAACACAGAGAGTGAAAGAGAATGAAGACTGAGAATGGGGTGGATTGAGGAAAGAACCAAAAAAAAAAAAAGGAATGGGGTTATAGAAGACAGAAGATGGTGATTAACATTGAATTTTTGAAGATAGTAGTTATCAGGGAAGCAAGAAATTGAGAGGGAATTCCACAGGTGGGACGTGTGAGAAAAGAAACTGTTACAGTAGAAGTGGTGGTTGCATTTAGCTAGTTTAGCAGTGAGACTTAATTGCTCATCTAGTAGCATGCTTAAATTCATGTAGTCTGGGTACCAAGTGAAAAAAATATTGTTAGAGCAGTTGCCATGAAAATATTTGTAGAAAAGACAGAGAAGGAAGCTATGTCACATCAGGGAGAAAGTAACTGAATTTGAGGTGCCTGGCCAAGATTAATTACATTACACTCTTTTTTAGACCTTTTCAAGAATATTGAGATGTGCAGCAGGAGCACTAAACCAGATATAGTAGCCATATTCAATGCACAGATAGATGGTAGATTAGTAAATGTGAGAGATGGATTCTGACCAGAAAAATTATCTGGAATGACACGGTGAACTAATTTTCGTTGCAGTATACATAGCAATTGATTCAATATAGTCACTTCATGACAGTGGAAAACGTGAGGCCAAAAATGTGTAGAGTGGATTTTAACATCAGAATAGGTTTTCCGTGGTGATTAAATGAAAGCTGTTTTGTTTTAGTGGCATTAAAAGTTGCAAGCCACATCTTGCCCTAGTTAAGCACTGATTGGAGGTTCTTTTCAAAAGTGGTTACCAGGTTTACTTTGTCTGGTCTGTCAGATTTGATACTAAAACAGGAGTAAATGGTTGTCACCTGCATAAGTACCTAGTTGGGAACTGATTGACATAGACAGAAAATTTGGATTGGTGTCTCTAAAGTGGTTGGCTGTTTGTATTGATCTCTTTCCAGCATTTCCTGCAGGTAAGCTGACCCACACTTCTAAATACTGTGCCATGGATCTTGTTTGAGATGTTGGTGGGAGCTGTGTTGTTCAAATGGCACAAGGTCTCTCTACACCATTGCTCAATGATGTGCCCTGAAGAGGTTACTCCCATCTCACCACCTGGTGATCTTCACTGATGAAGGTGCTACTATTAACTCATGAAATAGATAGATACCTGAGTATGATTTAATGTGGTAATAGAAGAATAAATTTGTAATGAAATCAATGCTTATTTTATTCTTTCTTATTTTTCAGTACAAAATATAGTTGTTAGGTAGAAAATTAGCTTGCAAGAAGATATTTTATAGTCTGTATTTTTGCTAAAGTGTGTATTTAAAAAAAAATATTGCCATTTAAATCTTTAAAAAAGGATGTTCAAATTATTCCTTCTACATTTTATGCTCATTACAATAAAATCTAAGAAATTTTCTCTAGTAAATATTGATTTTCCTTTATATGCTGGCATACAAGGCAACTGAGTGTATAAGACAAATCCCAAATTTTCAAGTTAAAATGTAGGTTTTAGGCTGTATTCCTTGTACAAGATGACCCCCACCAATTGTATTTTAAAATGTATTGTATGGAATTTATTAAATAAATTCAGTAAGCATATATTTTTTTTTTTTTTTTTTTTTCCACTCAAATTCTAATGAAAAAAAAGTGGACAGATTTTGTCAATTATCACAATCTACAATACCTCATGAGTGGGTGCTTCGTTTTCAGTACACTATTATGGTACTCTGAATGATTTTCCCTGCTAACCAACCACTTGTTCCATGGTTATCAAATATGATCTTTAAACTGCTTGTTGAGAGACACATCATCGAAAAAGTGGCTGACGTAGTGGTTAGCCTACCGTCAAAAATCTCCCATAGTAATAACTAACTTACCTTAAACTACAGGATTTAAGGTTTACATTTTATACCTGGAGTGTAAGACAGACCCCTATTGGGGGGAGATTTTTTAAGGTTAAAAGGTCGCCTTGTACATTGATATATATGGTAATTGTTCCAGAGGAAACGCTGACAGACGAGAGCCAATTGATAAATAAGATCTTGTAGAGTCTAATAGTAGGTATAGAAACAGGTTTGATCATCTATTTGGTAATATGTAAAGTCATGTTCAAATGTATTTAGTGTCAATCTGTGGTGTGATAGCACTGAATAAGGGATTTTTTTTCTTTTTACTCATGGGTTAAAACAGTGGTAGTAGAAGCTTTTGACATTAAAAGTTTGAACACATGTTGAGATTCACAGAAGTGTAAAAACAATGGAAACTTGCAAGCACTTAAAACAATGCATCCACAGAATAAGGTCTGAAAAGCAAATTCTCTGTACTGTCACAATTTGGCACTCAGACTTCTGGTCTTTATGCAAGATTTTCTTATTGGTTGGGTATATGTCAATGAAGAATGATAGAAAAATCGGTAGCATTGGAATCAAACATCAAAGGAGGCAAAGACTGGATCACAATGGGCAGGGTACAAACAAGACTTCCACGTGGAAACACTAGATGTACAGGATGAACACAGCCAAGACACTGGAAACACAAACAAGTATGAACAAATTTCAAATGACACCGAGCAACATGAACAGAAATCCTTGGTAACCCACACCAATCCTGTTATACAGTCAACATGGCAAATTACCAGACTATCTTTTCAGAAAATGTGCTTACTTTTATGGAGCCTAAAACTTTAGTGGTTGGCTTGCAAAGGAATCATTTGCATAGCTAACACCGCTCAGCTCACTGTTCCAACTACCCCATGGGGAAGCAGGTAGAGACTTTCTTTCTTCATAACCAGACGTTCTGTGTTTTGCACCAGCTCTGTTCTGGTAGGGTAGCCATGTGCTGTTTTTCTGTAGAAACCACACACTAAACATTTTTGTCCAATGGGGCAGGTGCTGTTATCAGTAGTGATTGGCTGCTTCATCTGCATTTCTTTTCCACTACACTTTTGTTCTTTTTCAGTAGTATGTAATTTTTACTGCCCTCTTTTATTAGGGATTTTCCACTTTTTGTTGATCTCATGTAGTCATTATTGACAACATTAGGAGGAGAGCTTGTGTTTTTTTATTGTTCCTTTGTTTATATCAGTATTTACCTTTATTTTCAGATTTTGATGCTTAAACAAAAACTTATTGTAGATTGAACAAAGAAAAAAAAATCTTAAAAAGATTAAGCTAATTTGATCTCTTGACAAAGAATAAAATTCTTTTCATGACAAAAGTATTTTTCAGTTAAAAGGAAGAAATATTTCCATTTTTAAATGTCATAGATGAGTTTTTGCATTAGCAATATTAAATTCTCTGTTTTTCATTCAACAGAATTATGTCGTCATCTTGATAGTGATTGCATTCCAGTCAATCATACGTTATCACCAAGAACAACACTACAATCATCCAAAATACCAAAAACCAAATGTTGGAATTATCTTTACCAATATTCAGCGTACTGATGCTGACAAGGGAATTGTAGAATGTTTTAAATATTTTGCTAATTATTTCTTTTACAAATTTGGCCTTGAGGTAAGTTTTTTTTTTTTTTTTTTAATTTTTTTTTTATTTTCAAGTTTCATTTATTCATTGTTGTTGTATTCATTCTTATTACTCTCCTCTTTTTTAACCATTCTCTCTTGAATGGATCAATGAAGATTGTGCATTATTTTAAGATGATTAATTTTCTTATACACTTTCATACGGCTGTTTATTTCTACATTTCTGTTATTTAGTCTTAATATAAGAAGAGACATTAATAAAAAAAATATGTAGAAAAAAGAAAGAAAGAACCGAGATTAGAGAGCTCTGAAATTTAATTGTCCTCACTTTCAATCCTCTTTATAAAAATTCCAAACTACAATGTTGTTATACATGCAGAAAATTTGTACCCTTTGTATTGTTGCTAGCATCCCTTAAAAATCCAGGATCTAATTTTGGTGTGAAGGTTAGACAAATATATTTAAACAAAATACATTGACTTAGTTGATAAATATTTACTTTCTAGTTTAGTCTCTGGTTATGTTTCAGTATTTGTTATATTTTTTTTGGCATGTTTATGTAAAAATAACAAAAAATGGTTAGTAGGCAAAGTAAAAACAAATTTAGAATGTGTACTGAAATACTATCGCATATTGACTCATCATGTTAATATTAATTCTATAACTTAGAGTATTAAGTCCACTAACTTGACAGGTTTTTGCTTCAAGGCTTGATCAATTCACAGTGAATGCTATTCTTAATCTGATGTAAATTTTTGCTAATTTTCATGACTTTCATATTCTGAAGCCTGAGGTGAAGAATTAAAATCTTATTGAACCAATTGGCAAATGATTTATCTACATTTTAAGATAAAGCTTGACCTGTTTGTCTTTATTCATTTCTTTTATATTGTCTGGTTTGAGAGAAAACTCTTGACTTTTCCATTCCACAATATTTCTATTAAAATTACTTCCAAATTTTATTTAGGCTTTAATATTCTTGGCTTGTAACATTCCAATTTCTATAATCTGTTTCAGTCCAAGCAAATCTTTCATTCTTTCTAGTATATTTGGTTTAATTTATTCTCAGATAAATATTTGCAACATTTAAATATAAAATGTATGTGAATGATTCTTTTTTTTTTTTTGTTCTTTTTAGCTATGTTACATCATTACAGCTATTACCATCAGTGTCCGTGTTGATGCCTATTCTGTGCTTTATGCAATATTTCTGGGTGTATTACTCTTGTTGAACCGTCGTGGCAATGCTTACCTGTGGCCTATTTATGTCCTTGTGCTTACAATTCTATTACCTCTACAATACATGTCTTCCATTGGTGCTCCACTGGGTCTCTGTCTACGTAAGTAATTCTTTTATTAATCTTATTTTGCATTTTATTTAGAGGTAGGGAGGATGCAATTACCTGCTCTGCTCTAAAATACTTTTTGCATATGGTTCAACCCAGTATATTATAAAAATGTGAAAATAAACATGGGTAAGATATATATCCAACTCATTAACTCTTCCAAAATATTCAACAGAAATACTCTAAAACTTAACATGTTTTTGGTGCAGCTACAGCTATAAATCATTAAGACCAAAACAAAAATCATAACATAACAGGAAAATTACTATTAGACCACAAACGCTCACTGCTCTTACCTCTAATTGTAGAACAAAATACAAATATCCACTAAAAAGCAACTGCCTATAAACTAATGTAATATACCAAGCTACTCATTGATCCAAAAGAAACCCAGAAAAAATGGCTAACAGAAATTTCCTGAAAACAGAAGCTATTCACACAAAACATCATTTATCAATAAGAAATATGCAAATAGCACAACTGTCTTAAAGCATGGAAACTGAAAAATACAAGGCAAAACACATAAAAAATAAAATGGGAAATAAGAAAAATGGCACCAACTTACAGCAACACCTCAAAACAATGTAACCTTTGCTTAAAGAAGAGAATAATTATTACCTTCAGATCATGAGTTTTGTTAGGGGACTCATTAGGCTGATTGTTTGGAGTTTACAAAAATTTTTAGTTGGTTTAGATAAATGTCATGAATGACATTTTTAAGATTAAAAATCAATGAATTATGGAAGTAATAAATTAAATGCGTAATAATTTAAATGCGTAATAATTTTATTTTTTTTAAAAGAAATTCCATAATATATTTGTAGTTTTTCTAAAAGAAAAAAAAAAAAAAAAAAACTCCTGGAAATTCTAACATTATGTTGCTTGTATTTTTTCCTTTTAACAATTAATAATTATTTTTTTAAATGATATTTATACTATATGTTTATAACTGCATATTATTTCTTGCATTTCTTTGTTTACAGCTTATCCCTGGGCAAATACTTTAAAACTCTCTCTTCAACAATGGCTTTTCTTACCAAGTTATACTTCTCCTCCAGCAGCTCCTGTTCTCTTGGGTAACTAAATTTCTTCCTTACCAATTCTGTTAGGAACTGCATTTTTGTTTAAAATAATATAAGTTGATTTATTATGATTATTTATAGTTTATTTATTTTAGTTGTTTTCTACTTATTATAGATATATTTTTTACTAATGGTAATATTGTTTCCTTATAAGGAAATGTTCGGAACCCATTAACTGAGCAGCCAGTGCTAATTTCAGTTGAAATTTATAAAATCTTTCTTTTAAAATGATTTTTCAGGAAAATAGGTTTCTTAATTATGGTAACTGTTATTGCTTTTTCCTATATTGATGGGGGGGGGAACTTCCTTCCTAACTTTTTGTTTGAAGTAGTATGGAATGTCAACATCTTGATTGTCATTATTTTCTCATTAAGCTACATGTACTATCCATTTTAGTTGTTGCTGTTCTTGAAAATCACCAAATGATCTAGTTTCTGTTATTTGGTACATTTCTTAATGATTTTTTAGTTTCAGTTCACTCCAAGTGTCACTCAAAGTAGAGGGTTAATGAAATGTGTCATGTGAATGTAAGAGGAGGGAGTAGGAAGTGAAGATTATGAGGTGAGGATATAAAGGATAGATAACGATTGATCCGATACTTGAAGATATTAAGATTGTAACATTCAGGGAAACATGCAAATGGGAGTTCTACAAAGTTGTGGTTCTTGAAAAGAAGCTTTCTGAGTAGAACATCTTTCTTATCAAAGGAATACGTAGGGAATGAAGGTGATTCAACTCTGTAGATCTAGCAAGACCAGTTTTGGCTGCAAATGTCCGAGAAAGAATGGAACTTGTCTGAACATTTGCCATGGAAATAGCGATTGAATAGCAATAGGCTTGCAACATTGTATCTGTGGGGGAAATAGGCAGTTTGGAAGATAAGTCATCTCACACAAGGCAATGTAAATGATTTTATATTTTATAAAATATTACAAATATAATAAAAATAATGAATAATATAAATATAAAAATTGTTTGTATTTTTTGGGGCAGGGAAAAACTTAGGATTAAAAAAAAAATAATGTCCCATATTTTTTTTTTCATTCTCAAGAATGAATGTTACTCCCACAATTACAGTGTGCAATAGGTAAATTGTCATCATTTTATATTTTTAATTTCACACATGAGCATTGTTTGTTTTTAATTTTGTTGACTGCACAGTATAGTAGGATCAGTTGGGCACCATCTGTGAAAAAAAGAGCACCATGATGCAATTCGCTCCACCAGAAATTTGGAAACGGCATACTGTACCTTTTGGCATTTGTGCCGAAAGCTCCAATACAAACATTTCAGAGTGTTTGTGTGTCAATCTGAAGACAGTGCAGAGGATTCAGAAAGAGTTGGATGAGACTAATGGTGATTATGAAGGTGTTGGAGTGATCACAAGTGATCAGTTCATTTTCCCCACAGGGCTTCAGACTCAACATGGAGGCCTACACCAAGTGCCTTGAGGGGCTAGTGCTGCTCTGGGTCAAGAGAGTGGCTGCTGGAAGACCCTATGTCTGGCAACAGGACTCTGTACCCTGCCAGACAAGCAAGAGAAGCCAGTCATAGCTGTGAGACAATTTCTTTGACTGCATCACCCTTTACATCTAGTTACCTAACTCCCCAGTCTGCAACCCCTTGATTATTATGTGTAGAGTGCATTTGAGTAAGAGACTAACAAAGATAAACACCAAAGATGAACTGAAGACAAGGATTATAGCAGCATTTACCAACTTAAACAAGGGGACCGTTCAGAAGAGTTTGCAAGAGATTCTGAAGTGGTTGAAGCCAATGGGGATTTTATTGAATGAATTTACTCCTTAGTATTTCAAGATATTTTTGTGTAATTTTGGTAAATATATCTGTTAAAATGAGATGTCAGTGTTATTTTCATTTTTGCATAATTTAGATGACAATTCATCCATTGCACCTTGTATAATATAAAAAAAAATATTTTAATTATGCATTTGTTGGCTTTATTTGGCTGGTTTTCTAAGATGCAAATGATAGCTTTTGAGTAGTCACTGTGAGACATAATGTTTTGTTTCACTCTCAATGGATATTTTTGACATTTGTCTTCTAAGTAGAAATGTTTTATGCTACTGAATAAATTAAAAAGGAGATATTTTACTGTAGTTTTATTTTATTTTTTTTATCTGCATTTTTCTTTTAAAATAATTATCAAGAGAATTTTAAAGTTTTGTAGTTGTTTGTAATATCTCTTGTAACTTGACAGGGTGGCTGGGTGTGTTGAACGTTAAGTGATGACAGGACTTATGAGAGAAAGTAAAATATTATCTGTGTTCATAATTTGGTGAAAGTGCTGATAATTTTTGAGTTACCCTTGTATAAGAGGGCATTTGTTTATCTTTTCCAAAGTAAATCAGGGTTGAAAAGTCTTGTTAAATGCATTAAGATTTTCCTAAAGAATTAAGATATGATTTATCTAAAAAGAAAATTGTTTTTTGACAGACTTTTTATTTTTCTTTCAAACTTTAGATTTAAAGATTTTTTCTTTTTCTTTTTTGTACTTTTGTTATTTCTTTATGCTTTTTTGTTTTTGCTTTTTTTTGCTTTTTTTTTTTTTTTTTTTTTTTTTTTGTTTTTTTTTTTTTTTTTAGTTTTTGCTGTTTTTTTAGTTTTTGCTGTTTTTTGTTTTGCTTTCACTTTCCTTTTGCTTTCGCTTTTGTATTCTTTTTCTTTTTGCTTTTTTTGTTTTTCTTCTGAACCAATTATCATTTATGGTCACTTATTCTGCAATAAGGAAAATAATATTAGTTAAATGGTTTTCACTTGGACTCTATAGAGTGGGTAAATGAATGACAAAATGGAAAAAACTCTTACGCATTTCATTCTGAGATGGAAATTCTTCAGACTTATAATGGTTGATTTATGCAGTCAGTCTTATACAGAGTGTGGCAGTAATACTTCCCACATAAAGGTAAGACATTGTCTACATGAAGACACTATTACCATTAATGTCTTACCATTATGTGGGAGATGTTTCTAGGAGGTATATGTGTAGTGGTGTAATGAATAGCATCTTGAAATGGGAAGCCAAATTTGAATTCTAATTGAGTTGATTACATTCACTTACAAGCAAATACCCTTAGGAAAGTCATGAATCCATTTTTTCACTGTCCCCCTGTCCAGTTATGGGTAAATAGCAGGAGGATAGACTGGGCCCTTAATTGGCAACCAGTTTAGGAGAAGGAAAACTCTAAATTCAAAACCAGAGGAGTCATTTGCAGATCCTGTAGTACACTATATCCTGTAGTACACTATATGAACCAGTTTTCTGTATTTGGTTCTACTGAAAAGTGTGGTTGGATCTGCACAAGCCTTTATTGTGTGTGTGGTCTGGTTTATCAGTTCTAACAACTGGGCTATTGGGAGAGCCCATTATATATATATATATATATATATATATATATATATATATATATATATATATATATATAAAGTAAACATAGAAGTCAACACTTAGAGGCGACAGTCTGTTTCATGCTAGATGCAATCGTCAGGCCTGACAATTGCATCTAGCATGAAACAGACTGTCACCTAAGTGTTGACTTCTATGTTCACTTTTATATTTACAAATGCTCTCTGATATTGAGCACTTTATCCCATAAATATAGCACACCTTAAGACTATATTTTTCATATATATATATATATATATATATATATATATATATATATATATCTGGACACTGAGGTCAACACCGAGTGGCTACTTGATGTTGACCTCAGTGTCCACTTGTATGTTTTATATTTACATATGCTCTATTTCAGATATTGTGCACTTTTAACCATAAATACAGCATACATTAAAACTATATTTTTATTTTATATATATATATATATATATATATATATATATATTTAGTGGGTAGAAGTGGTGGAGAAATGCAACAAATGCCAGTTAAATTTTAATACGGAAAAACAAAGATCCAGATATGCTCAACTTAGCCAATCTCAGTCAGCTTTTTATTTGTACAGAGTTGGCAGATCTTGGTATGACACTTGTTTTGTTATTTTCTTTCCTCAATATGTATATAAGCAATTTGTTTCCAGTTCATTAATCACTCTCTTTCCATGATGTCTATACTTAAAGATTTCACTCTTCTTTTCCAGCTGACTTTTTCCAATTGTTATTTGCCTGTCTGCAGTGGCGTGTCTTCTACTTAGAATCTCGAACACAGGCAGAAGAATATGGCGGTGGCCTCAACAAAGATATTCTTGCAGAAGTTGAAAGCAATGCTGAAATTCCAGTTCCTGACTTCACAACAACTGTCAAGTAAGTTGATCTTATGCTATTTTTCTTTCCTTGTTTTCAACTCTTTTTTTATATTATATGAATTGTATTTTTCTTTCTCTTTGCTGTATATTTGTTGTAATCACCTTAAAAACCCTCTTTGTCTTTAAATTTAATAAAAATCCTCTCTTGTGAATTATCAGCTTTTTATACAGAATTAATGGATTTATTTTTGATCAGATATTATTTCAAACGTTATTAGAGTGGATACTTCATATATGAAATAGATGCCCAATTTTTATTTATCAAACAGTGTGTATTATGTCTATTGGCCTGCACATTTAAAGAATCTTAGCAAACAAAATGCATTCCCTGCATCTTCATTTGTAGGGGAAACCACTGTTTGTTCCAGTCTGAGCAGTAAAGAACATTGGATCAATTGGTGGCTTCCCCTAGAAAGAATTCAGGTTTAATCTGTGCTGGGGAACTCATTTTCTTTACTAAAATTTCTCAATACTTACAGGCAGATAAAAGTAATACACACTGTTTAATAATGAAAAATGGAGTTTCTATTTCAAATATGGAGAATCCAATTTAATAACAAAACTTATCAGCTTTACAAATTGATTATTAGTACTCAGTATTAGAAAGTTATAGTTATTTACTTTGATTAAACGTAAAAGAGACAATGGATTGTATATGTATTTAAAAAAAAAAAAAAAATTATGTATTTAGATAATTTGGTTCCTGCAAATGAGTTGGCTGAGATGTTACTATACTTACTTATAGCTTATATTGAACCAGGAATATAAAAATCCTTCCATATTGCATATTAAAATGTTTAAATCTTGTTTCAGGAGTAGAGAAAGTACTAATTATATAGAAATGGAATTGTTGTGAAAAATCACTATCAAGAAATCTACTCTGTCAGTTTTAAAATGAAATCAATTGACAATAAAAAAAGAAACTTAATTCTCAGAAAGTTTCATAAATACTTAAATGTCATGAGAAAATTATAAATAGTGAACATTGATGTATTAAATTTGTATGCTATTGGTGGTCCGGAGTAATTTATCAAATGAATTAAGAGTAATTTTATTTACATTTTTTTCTTTAATCATATTTTATCTTTTTTCTTGAATAATAATGTCTATCTTGAAAAGATTTCAGTTTTACTATAAAAACCTTATGCACATTTTTTTATACAACAATTTAAGCTGTTTATCTTTCTATTAAAGCTAATTTACAAGAAGATAAAGCAGTCTTCTTTTTGCCTGTAATTTCAATGCAAAAGCAGTCATAGTTTTAGATATAAAGATATTGTGTAAATAAATCTTTTATCATATTTTAGGAATATTGTTTGTGCGGGTGAAGCATGATGTTAAAACTTTAATCTTCTCAGATGTATTTAACATATATTTGTTTAGGTAACTCGTGTTAGTTGAAATCAAAACAAAGAATCAGAGCTAATGGACTATTTTGTTAGTACTGCAAAATTTTAAAGAAAATCTTATATGTTTGTGAATATGAAAGCTTTATTTTTTTTCTTTTTTTTAAAGATGGCTATCAATACTCAATTTTATTGCTGAATATTTTTATTTATCAAAGCATCTACACATTTTGAACTTTTAAAAAATACCAGTCTATCCAGTATCATGCACATTTTACAGAAACATCTCTTCACTGGCCAATTTGAACCTATTGCAAATATAACTAACATTTGAATCATGATAAAAAACTAATCATTACAAATAAATACACAAGAAATAAAAACGAAGAAGAATGATAGAACTGTAATATTAAAATAACATTGATACTAAATACTAACAATGAAATTATTGGTTATAAAATAAAACCATTGCAATTATATTAACTTATCAAATGTTTAGCCTGATATAGTCTTAATAGATTTCGGGAAAAAAATGAAAGAACAGCCAAAAAAAGCTGATGTGCTTGTTCTTTAGAAGCTGAATGTAATGAATTTTTATGTTTTGGATTAACTTGAAATGAGGTTCCTTATAAATTTTATCTCTGTCATGTGACCATCTGGCCATTACAGCATCCACCTTTGTTGGGACTTTGTTGCTTTTGCATATTTTTTAGAAAGCCAATGTTGTTTCTCTGCTCTAGGTGCTTCCAATCTATTGTGCTTTTTCTGGTCTTCAGCTAAAAGCAAAACAGCAATTTTCTTTTTATAAATCATTTTTTTCTTCCTTCTTTCTGGCAGTGCTCTAAAAGCAAAGTCTTGCTTCTCTCTTTTCCTTCCTTTCTCTTCTCTGGCCATATTTTCATATTTTGGTTTTTGCTTTATTTCTGTGTCTAGGTTAAAAAATTTATCCTACCATAATTCGATTTGGTAAGTTATTTACCTGGCTTAATATTATTTCTTATAAACAAAACAAACACACCATCAGCATTGTTAATGGGCTTTTCAACATTTTAGAAATTATCTGACAGTATTTTTATGATAAAAGCCCCCCCCCCCCCCAAGAAAAATTAACTACATAGGCTGGCTAATCCATTGAAATTTAATTTTTTTAAATATGAAGTCAGGTAAAAAAAAAAAAAATCTTTGATTTTATTTTTCCCTCTCTCTCTCATCAGCAGCACTAACACCATTACTATTGCCACTGCCAGCATGCCGGGTCATTCTGAAAGCTTTTCATATTGTGCTACTGTCTTTGCACTTGGCACTATACATTGACCATTTCTCTTGCTCTCTCCTTTTCATTTTTCTATTTACTATCCCTCTCTTCTTATATGATAACCAGTTTTTTCATCAAAAGTTGACTTAAATATCTTGGCTTGTTTTCTACTCTTACCTTTTTTGTGGTCTAGACTCTCACTTTGTTTTTTTTCTGGCCACTGTGTTTTCAGAAAGGCTATTGAAGAAGTGTTGTGGCAAAAACATTGGTTAATATAAACATTGGAATGATAAGTATATATTAGCAATCTTGGATGATGCTCACTTAAAAGAATGTACACATGTGACAGTATGAAAGAAGGTGTCAATCTCCAAAGGAAATTGACAAAAGACATTCCATTAGAAATACCAGAGATGTACTGGTTGTATTATGGAATTAAATAAAAAAGAAAAGAGGCACATTGGAGTGAATTTTGATGTACGAATACAGCAAGGTATAATGTTAAAAGAATTAAATACAAAAAACATTTAATTAGAATAAATTGAATCAGAACTTGGTCTGAATTTGGACCCATTACTTTACAAGGTTTTAACTAATCTAAGCTATTTGGATCAGATAAAACAGGGCGCCCTACCCCCCTTTTTTTCTTTTCATTAACCCCAAGCAAGGCAATAAACATTACTAGATTACAAGGGGTTACTGAGAGTGAAAGAAAAAGGAATATAAGAGAACAGGATTCAAGGAATTAGATGATTGACACTGCATTTACATTTTTGAAGATAGCTGGTAGAAAGCTGGCAGAGAGTTCCACAAGTGAAAAGTGCAAGAGAAGGAATTATTAGCATAGAACTTATGGTTACAACTAGCAATTTCAACAAAGAAATTATGCAACTTACCTGCTAATCTAGTACTATATTTAAATTCATGAAGTGAAGGTACTTAAGAGGAAAACGTGAAAATATTTATAGAAGAGTCAAAGGGAAGTTATGTTATGGTGATGAGAAAGTGAAGCTGCAATGCCAGGTCAGTACTGATAATGTTACTGATTCTTTGGATTTTGTCAAGAATCTCTAGATCTAAAACAGAAGCACCAGACCAGATGTAGCAGCAATATTCAATGCTGTGATGAATAGCAAACTTATAAATGTGCAAGATATATTCAAGCAAGAAAAACTGCCTCGCACGACATAGTGACTTGATTTTCCTAGCAGCAAACTTAACAATTGATTCATTATAAACATTCTACATCATGCTCGTGGAAAACATGAATCTAAGAAGGCACAGGGAGTGGCTATCCTGGAGGCTAGCATTAGCCATGTTGATGGAAGGCAAAAAACAAAAAAACAAACAGATAACACTACTAGGAAGAATCTTGACCAAAATTGAAAAAAGGAATTTTATTTTTCAATACTTTTCAATTCTATCTTGAATTTTTAGGGCAAACCTTATTGGTCAAAATTTTGTGGTCAAAATTCTTAGGGCAAACCTTAGTGGCCAACCAGTATAGTATATATGACTGGAAGTTGAAGTAATCAAACTGTTTTTCCTGACCTGCTTATTATACAAATATGATTTTGTAACCTGACACTTGAAATGAATGTCTTCTCATGCCTTTCTGATTTCTACAATCTTAACCTGTTCAAGTTTAGGGTTAACTGTTATCTTCCCCCACATATCTACATAAACTGTGCATTTTATTCTGTAACCCTCTACCTCGAGTGGCTCTTGAGCCTTCTCCAGGGTGAACATCATTGTTAAAAAAGAGTAAAAAAGGACTCACTGAATTGTTATGTGATATCTGTCCTCCTGTATGGCAGCAAATGCTGGACAATCACCTCAAAGATGAAGAAGAGACTTGAAGCAACAAAAATCTGTTTCTACAGAAAGATGCTAGAGATACCATGGACCGAACATGTGAGCAATGGCAAGGTTTTGCAGAAAATGGAAACACAAAGGAAATTTATACTTAACATCAGAAAGAGGCAGCTGAAATTTCTGGGGCATGTAATGAGAAAGGAGGGCTTGGAAAATTTGATACTCACAGGACAGATTGAGAGAAAGAGGGACAGAGGAAAGCAGCGTGAAATATGATGAATTTGAGCAAATTGATGGTAGAAAAGGTTTTGGGAGGTATAACAAAAAGATAAAACTTATTAAGATCTACAAGGAACAGGAAGATGTGGAGGGTCATGATCGCCTACGTCCTGAAGAGACATGGCACATAAAAGAAGTGGACACAGTCTTTTTTGGCTCAGAGAAAGACTGGATTGCTTCGTGCCTCTGACCAGCCACCTACTCAGCTAGGTAGTTTTACATTGTGCTTAGTGAAAAGCTTAAGTGTCATTTAATGGCCAGTTAGCTACTCAACTATGAAATTATTGTAGTCAGGTGCCAAGT